TCTTCCTATTTATTCTCTCTGCCTGCCAACCCCACCTATCCTTACTCCTGCCCAGTTATTGGCCATTCAGATCTTTGAGCAATCAGGTGTTTTAGACAGGCAAAGTAACACAGCTTCACAGAGTTAAACAAACGCAACACAAAAGAATGCAGCACACCTTTGCATCACTCAACAATGTTCCACAGCACAAACAAATGTAACACATCTTCCACAACACACAATTGCCAGTAACTATAGTTCCAGTGAACCTGACACTCTCTTCTAGCCTCTGCAGACACCAGGAGCCCGTGTGATGCACATGCATACTTTCAGGCAAAATATCACACACATAAAATAGAAACGAATAATAGTTTTTAAAAAATACAGCCCTGCATCATGTTGAGAACCAAACCAAGTCAGTAGCCGTGAGTGTGGATATGTAGCTGTTAAGATCGTCACAGAGGCTGATGTGTTAAATATTTTTCTATTGCTGTGAAGAGACACCATGACCAAGGCAACATATAAAAGGAAAGAGTGCCCTGGGCGCATGCTCTCAATTTCAGAGCATGAGTCCATAATCATCATGATGGGGATGGTGACAGCAAGCAGGCAGGCAGGGTGCTGGGGCCGTGGCTGAGAGTGTATGTGTTGCGACACCAAGAACCAGGTACCAAGAACCAAATTAAATAGTTTGAATTTTTGAAATCTTCAAAGCACATTTCCAGTGACACGCCTCCTTCAACAAGACCATACCTCTTAAACTCTTCTCAATTGGGTCTAAACATTCAAATATATGAGCTTATGAAGGCCATTCACATTCAAGCCTCCACAACTGAGACACACTACTGTTATTTTTTTTTTATGTGTCTGAGTGTTTTCCTATATGTGTATGTGTGCCACATGCATTTCTGATGCCCTGTGAGCCTAGAAGAGGACATTGGGTCCCCTAGCACTGGAGCTACAGACAATTGTAAGGAAAAATGTAAGTGCTGGGAACCGAACTTGAATTCTTTGCAAGAATAGCAAGTGCTTTTAACTGCTAAACAGTCTCTCCAGCCCCATATGACTGATTTTATTTTTAAACCCTTCATGCCATAGAGTCAGGCCTCTAAGAATGAGAAACTGAGCATCTCGGCTATGAAGCTAAAATGTTTAAGCTGCTCAGGTCATCCTGGGAACCTGTCAGATTTGGGACTCACTAAACTCCATAACCTCAATGTTTTCTTCCAGTTTCATGATTTAATCATTTGTATGACACTGCAGAATGCTTTGTTTTGCAAACGTAGAAATTATATAGCATCTTTGCAATGAATTTTGTGCAAATGCCTGTAACCCTGCTGAATTTTTTCATGAATTAAAATTTTTCTTGAAATCTCAGGAATAGGAACTTTTTTCCATGTATCATGGAACAGATCACTTTATCTGGCCTGCTTCCCAATTATGGGAGTTCCAAATCACTGAGATATAAATAAATGAGACTTTACCACACTCAGAACACCAGTATGATGAAAAATTTGTTTACAACAGGAGGTTTTAGGTCATCTTTCAATCATCCATCCTCTGAACCAGAGTAGGGATGCAGGAGAGTGCACACGCGCACACACCCAAATGTGACACATGGTAAATGTTGGTGCTCAGTGAGCTGGAATGAAGGAGACCTTCAAATTCCATCACCTTCCTCACCTTATATTTTTGGATACAAGAATCAAAAGCATCCAAATACTGTTGACATGACCCGTTCAAGCTCTTTGTTTACATTGCTGTCATTTTTTATTTCTTAAATACTGTACTTTGGTCCTGGTGATGTTAAGGAGAGTAATGAAAGAAATACGTTTAAATAATAAAAGCTGTAAACTGGGTGTGCTAATAAGAACCATTCTAAAGGGCTTCTAAAACACATACCAACTTGTCTAATAGGATTTCTAATTCTTGCAGTAAGACAACACTTGCAGGTTTTGCCTGATCTAAATTTGAGCTTGAAAGCTCTGCTAGAATTATTCAGAAAAAAAATCATTGAGATTTCTTTCAGCTCAGTTAGTCCAGATTCCTCTAATTTTACTTTTGCAATTAAAATAACAATATATATATATATATATATATATATGTGTGTGTGTGTGTGTGTGTGTGTTGTGTGTGTGTGTATAGATATATATACATATAGATATAGATATATAGAGAGAATATTCATTGTACAGAGTGTTGGGTTTCATACAGATAATTCCTTTTAAGTATGCCATGAAAACTGACAAAGAAGAATTTTAAGTATTATTTAGGATTAAAACTTATTGATACTGGGTAGGACAACTGAGTTACAGCATTAGAAATGAACTGAATGAACACCATAGTACAAAAGGTTTGACAGATGTCTTTGCCATGTAAGGAAGCTCCACATGACAAATGCAAGTCCTGGCCTCTGGTGGAAAGCATATAAGAAGTGAAGGAAATGAGGGTCCCCTTTTCTCCCATGCCATTCTCCACTGCACTAACGGGGAGACTTGGATGGGTCGGGGACCTGTCTCAGTCCAGTAGAGCTTTTCCATGTTACTGGCTAGATAGATCTTCAGTTGTGTCATTGTTGACAAGGTTGGAGGCTTTGACTGTGTACCAAGTGTTCAAGGCCCCTCGAGAAAAAAAGCCCAGTCCTTAGACAACACATGGCCATTTTGAGCAGATGCCACAAAAACTCCCAGTCTTCATCTCATCCCTAATTATGGGCCAAAAACAATGCTTCTGTGAAAAACTCTAGCAAGATAGGTCCAGGGAAATTGGCCTTACCAGGGAATAAGATGACTTTAACAACATCTGTGAGCTAAGCACGGAACTCATTTGGTCATCTATTAAACACACCTTAAAGCATAAATATTTAAGCCGGGTGTGGTGGTATGTGCCTTTAACCCCAGCCCTCAGGAGGCAGAGGCAAACCTCTGTGAGTTTGAGGCTAGCCTGTTCTACTTTTTTTTTTTTTTTTTTTTTTTTTTTTTATTGCAAACCCTACTTCCCAGATCCCTTTCCTCCATGTAAGTTATATGTAAATTGTCCAATCTGGATTTTGACAGCCTGTATACATACAATGTTAGGACAGTCACAAAATCGTGACACCCATTGACCAGGCTACCTTCACTGATTTCAAAGTGCTTTCTTCATGACTTGTCTCACGCAGATAGAATTCTTGGTTATTTGGGCCTCAAATAGCAACTTAAAGAAGATTAAAAAAAAAAAAAGCCATCTATCACTTCTGTGGCCATGCATTTCCAAAATTACATAGCACAAGAATTACCTGTGTGTTACTTCCAAAGGAAAAAGAAGAAAGTTTGATGCAACCATTCCTTTGTCTCACAGATCACTGATGACTGAAATTCTCAACACATGATCATCATAGTTACTGTCTTCATTAGTATGTGCCAGCTAGTGGTCTAGAAGACATCAGGGTACAGTTTGAATGTGTGTTCACTTTGAAGAAGAGATTCTGTGTTTTCTATTTTATTCAACTATATCCACGGGATGGAAAAATGGAGTGTTTCAAGCTGCTAAAGTCTGTCTCACTTATCTATTAGTATAGCTCCCTCTATCGAGGGCTAGTAGTGTAGTTTCTCAAGAGGTTCTATTCCTACTGAGACACACTCAGTGCACTCAATGCATGCAAAGGCACCAGAGTTTCATTAAAGGAATTCTCTTGTTCCCTTCCTTCATATGGAAATGTCATTAACCGTATTAAGTTAAATCTCTGAGTATTAGGTTCCTAACCAAAACACAGAGCTTCTCCACAGGGCCTACTTCACCAGGCATCACAGATTCTGAGTCATGCCATGGGTTGCGATTAGATTTAAGAGGAACTCTCTTGTTATCTGTTGACTTTCCTCTTCAATCATGGTTGTCCCATTTCTTTCACAGCCAACCACCTTGAGTCTTTCAGGTAAATGAAAAGTTCAATTATATGTAAAGTGAGTGCTAAATCAGCAGGCCCCTTGTGGGGGTCTGAGCTTTCTCTTCCTGCTTCAGTGGCAAGTGTGTTCAATCCATTACTGTTCCTGAGGATCTTACATCCATTGGGTCATGTGGGCTGGCCAGGGTGCATCTTATAGCTTTTACTGCATATGAGACATTGCAGGCCTGTTCTCAGGAACTGCCAGGCAGACTGGGAATCACAGTCACGGTTAATAGCAGCGAATTGCCAGCTCTTGATGGGTGGGTAGTCACTCCTTTCAGTGGCTGCCCCCTGGGGGAGAAGGTAGAAAAACAGAGGGAGGGAATTAGACTGACTTTGCACAGTTGAGCAGGTTCATGCCGCTGGATCAGTGGCAAGCATTGGCAGGGCTCCACTCTGGGGAGGCTCACAACGACATCACAGTCTCATTTTTACCAATTGGTGCTGCTGTATTACCAGTGGAGCACAGGGGGAGAGCAGAGAGAGGGCGAGCTGAAGTGGGGGGATGGGAGGGAGGCAGAAGTCTAAGCTAAATTAAACAAACAAACAAAACAAAAAATGCACGCTCAGACGGGTTCACACATCCCAGTTAGCCCCGTGCTAATTGTAGGAAACTGGTATTTGAAGTTTCCTGGGTGATTAAAGGGTAGACTCCCAAACTCTCTGCATAACCTTAATTTTTTCAAGGTTCTTTGAGTGGAGAATGGCTTATAATAATGATTTTGACTAATACATTTTTTGACATGCAACTTTAATGCTTAGCCTGAGTACCAACTCTAGAGCATTTCATGTGTACTCAGCTGTAAAGAGTGATGATTTAAAGGGCTAATATAAAGGAAAGGTCGTTCTAGAATGAACCTCTAACAAATTGCATAAAGGAAGCTTATTATTCCATGAGTATAGGGATATGAAGCTCTTCTGATCATTTTTCTGCTTGGCTCAAAAAGAATTCTTGAGATATGAGTGGTAGAAGAAACAAAAATGAAACAGAAATGCACACGCAAAGGAACATTCCTTTGATGGTTATGATTCCATCGCCACCTAAAAGACTCTACAATAATGTGGTTATTCATCTCCTCTTTTGTTTTGGGTGAAGAATTCGCTCTAACAAGAAAATGCTGCTGTTGGTTGGAGGGTTGCCTCCCGGACCGGACCGGCTCCCCAGCAATTTGGTTCAGTATTATGATGACGAAAAGAAGACATGGAAAATACTCACAAGTGAGTGTGCTTATTTATTTCCTTCCCTGTTTATTTCAGGCTGGAGTTGTCTTGATGAATTTTTTTTTTAATGTGACTAATCAAATCAGACACTATTGATCTACCCTTTGGAGGTTTGTTTGTGTATCGTGGGAGATTTAGAGTGGAAGACTAAATTAACATTTGGTAGTCGAACAGGCCTAAATTAAAGCTGGCCTGGTTTGTGTGTCTGTGTGTGTTGGAATGAATGGGGGTTGGGCAGGGAGCAGAAAGCGTCCCCTAGAAATGCTTCAGTTAGAGATTTTGTCGTTGATACAACACTGGAAGGTTGTTTAGTCTAAACACTAGTAAGTTTTCTCACATCAAAATGGCAGGTATTTTAGTTCATTATCTCTGTAACCAACATCCATTTGCCCTTTAAGCATCCTTGCCCACCTTTATTCTGGAGGACTTGGTTTTTCTAGAAACGGCCTTTTTAGGCTGCTCCAAAGCTTGATGCATGGATATATTCATGGCTTCCCCCAGCTGCATTAAACTGTGCTAGCAAATGTCCAGCCAAGACTCTCTTCTCCTCTCCTTAAAGGGTGATTGTGTTTTACAGCAGAACTCTTGCCTTGGGCACTGAGATTTGGAACGTATTGTTGTATCGGTTACGATTCCTGATCTGATGCAGTCATGGAATCAAAAATCATCGCTTCTTGAGTGCAGTAGGCTGTTCACAGCGGTCCCCTTGTGGCACAGTGGCTGCACTGGTCAATAAAACTAAATTTTAACTGTCAAAATTGCCCAGAGCTGTATAGATAAAATAATAAATGAGCAATTTTGATCCATGAATCAAAGCCATACATTTAAAACCAACAAAAGTGAAAGTTAGCTTCCCTATTGTGTATGTCTTTCAAGCATTTGTGTATCTTAGTAGATTGCTCTTGTAAAATCATTTCCTTGGCTCTTCCTGAAAGACCCTTAAAATAATAGAAGCGGGAAAAGAGTTTCCCTTAAGAGCAGTAGGAGTGAAGACATACAAGGTGAGGCTTGAAGCAATATACTTAGGAGCTGGCTTACCCCAGCATGGTTCAGGCACCGCATCGAGAAGGCTCCCTGGACACCTGGTTGTAATAAGGAAGTGACTGACAAGAAACAAGATTAAGCAGGAAGAGGAGGAAGAAAATAAGTTAATGAGGTTTTTAAAAATATGCTTTTGATTCTCTTTTGGTGAAAATGCCGTTTTCCATGGTTTAGACATCTTAGTGAGTCAATCAGCTGTATTCCACAGATGCATCAGAAACCAAAGCTAAAGTAAGAGAAGCAATGTGTTTGGCATCACCTGATCTGATCAACTCTTAGACACGACAGCTCAAAGGATAGCTGGGAAAGAGACAAAAGGTTTCCAGAGAGAAATCATAAACAGAGGGTAGGACACAGCAAGTCAACACCACTAATAAAGGAGAGGCATTGACAAACCCACCTGCTTTTCCAAATGCTCCACACTGTACCCAGCTGGGGACTCATTAAGACCCTCCATGCCAGGAGAAAGGATCGTTAACAGCATCTCCAGAAGGCCTTAGGCTTGGGTGTTTGAATGTTTACATTTGTTTACTTGTTTGTGTAGTGTGAGCACACATGCACAGCAGTGTGCACGTGGAGGTCAGCAGACAACTTGAAGGAGTCAGTTTCCCCTTCCGTCATGAGGGTTCTAGGGGATCAAACTGGTCATCAGGCTTGGCCACAAGTGCCTTTATCCACTCAGAGAAGCATTATGAGGCTTCTTGCCCCAACAGGGACAGCTTTGAACATGAAAGGGGATCTGTTAATTCTGCTAATGGCTGTCTCATACAGTCGTCACCCGACTTAAAGCTTTCATATCGCCTGCAAGTCACTGCTTCCATGGCTCTGAAGCATGAACTTTCAAACCTGGACTAGAACTCAGGTCTCTCACTTGGACCATGCCCTACAGACATTCTGGGTCAGTTTCTCATTTCTCAGTCACTTGAGTGTTTTGAGATAGCCTTGCACGCATGCATTACCCAGCACGCAGCATGTACTCAATAAATCACAAGCGCTGCCACTAGCTATTGTCAATGCTACTGCCAACATTAGCACAAGAGTTGTGTCTGTATCCCGGATGTGTGTCAACCACTGCAACTTCTTCGTGCACAGTAGAAAAATAACAGTTCAACTTGATCCTCCAGAGTAGGAAGCCTACTTTCCATAGTTTTCATGTGTGAGATGGATTAATCTACAGACTAAGAAATAATATTGGCTGGTTACCAATCAACTCTACTCACTTGAGATGAGATAAAGAGGCACACAAATTAGTTCCTACACTGAGAACATGCTTAAGGGTTTTGAACCTTCCTTGTATCCCAAGGCATGCTCAGAGCTCCGAAATAAAATTCTACTTTCCTAATACTCTTCATGTCCCTGGGATTCGTACATTAACAATATACTCTCTTCCCTGCCAGTCTGGGACCCTGTGACCCCAAGTGACATCATGGTTTTCACATTTGTAAATAATAATAATATTAATAATGCTATTTTTTCATGGATAATTTTTGTTGGTTTTTATTTTTTAAATTAAATTTGAAGTGCATCCAAACATGAAAAAAAAAATAAGTCATTGCCATTGCAGGGTTCCATGTCATTTGGGATATGAAATTACAAATGGAAGAAAAAGTCTCTCACTATCAAACAAAAATATTCAGATTCTCTCCAAATCCAATGAAACATTAGGAATTGTAGAACTTTCCACTGCCATTCTTTTGACCTAGAAGTGTCCAAGAAGGCAGGATGGCAGTGGAGGATGGGTAAGGGTCTCCTAGCTCAGGGTTTCCCTGATAATTGAAATACTGATCTCATGTAAACTAACATCTCAGTCAGTCAGTTTCCTGAACCTGGGATTAGCTGGAGTTTGGAGCCTTGGGGTATTTTCCCACTTATCTGGAGCAAGCATTTCCTTGTGTATCTGATAGACATGCCTCTCTTCCAAGGAGACTGCTACCCAGCCAGTACCATACACACTGGTTTGTGGGAGCTACGCCATTTGTATACATTATATAACAAAGAGGAAGTAAATGCATTTAGGGGCCATTGCCTAAGAAATAATAAACTGAAGAGCACAGGTGAGTTGCAGGCAGGAAAGAGCATCAGTGTCACACTGAGAGAAAACTTCAAGCATCCTAGGTGTGTCTTGGGGATAGAGCATTTGCCTAGGATACAGAAACCCCTAAATTCTGACCCCAAGCATTACAAAATCAACCAATAAATAGGCGACTAAATCCTTGATCCACCCGAACAGCAGCAATGGGGTCAGTTGCTTTCCACAAATGACTGCCTTGTTAACATGCTGTCAGACACTGCTCTTTTATTCTCAGTTGGAAGAATTATTATAACATTATAGAACTGAGGTCTAGGAACACCAACAAAGCCCTCCTGCTTCTGTCCCCAGAGTACTAGAAATGACATCTGAAACTGACCATGCAGCTTTTTGTAACTGTGGCACATTGGGTAGTAACAATAAAACTGGGAATTGCTGGTTCTTTTGCCCATTAAGAAGTGAGAGGTGCCACAGGTAAGAGCACTGGCTAGTCTTCCAGAGAACCCAGGTTCAATTCCCAGGGCCCATATGGTGCCTCGTACTATTACTCCAGTTGCAGAGGAATCTGATGCCTTCTTGGGCACCAGACACACATGTGGCAAACAGACATACATGCAGACATACATACACACAAAATTAAATAAATCTAAAAAAAATCAAGTAGTAAAATTAAACAAGAACAAAGGGGAAATTGAAATGCACTTTCATTCATTTTTATTTTGTAGAGTTCTTTCTTCTATCTCTTATGCCTGCATGCAGCTTCCCATTCCCTTCTTCGTTTCTTAGAAAGCAGTATAGGGTGTAGGGGGCATGAATACTAAAATGGCCAATGTAGAAAAGTAGGCCTCCTGCCCCACAAGCCATCAGTATTTGTCACAATATCAAACCAATCAATTCCCGTGGCCACTGTGTACGTTTTGAAACAGAGGTCTTGGTACATACCCAAGTTTACTCAAAGTTCACATGTAGAAGACCCTTACCATTTTCCAGGGGACCACACAGAAAAGCTGGGGACCCATTCATATCTTCAGCAGGCTGATTTCTTTGCTGATGGGTGAAGGTACTTGCTGGTATCAAGCCCTATTTTGCTTACATTTCAGACAAGAGCACTGACATGTTATGTTTCCTTTTCTTGCTCTCTTTAAGCAATTACAGAAAAAGTGATGTCAGAGTATAGATTTATGCTTGCAGGTGCCAACGCAGAGTACCCTTTGGTGACAGGGGGATGGAAATGAAGGATCTAAGCTAGCTTGTTCCTTCTTTTCATAATTTTTAAATCTTTAAGTTAATTTGTGCCTCAGCATTTAAAGTAATGCATTTTATTGTGACCCTTTCATACATACGTCCCATACATTTTGCTGTTACTCATCTCCCTTCCCCCACTGCTCTCCGGGTCTCTCCTCATCTCCCGTTGCTGGACCCTTTCCTCCTCCAAACATCTACTCCTGCTTTCATGTCATAGGTACCCATTTCCCTCCTCCCTCTCTCCAACTCCTCCACGCAGTGGCCATCTCTCCATCTCCATCACACGCACACGTGCACGCGTGCACACACGCACACACACACACACACACACACACACACACACACACACACACTTCTGTAAGTAGCAAATGAGTAGCAATGGGAAAACAAACTAAGTAACTATATATAAGACCCTGAACTTTGGTTCCCAAAGGGAAATGTAGGTTTTATCACATTCAACAATGAGGATGGTGGAGACTGGCACACGTGCTGCTTTATTGGGGGACACTAACTCTGTGTGCCAACACATCCAGTGGGCTTCTGCCCTAGATTCTGTTTCTTGAGTCCAGTCAACCTCTGTCCTTGGAAATATTGGGAATAAAGCCAGTCAAAAAGCAAATAATCATTTCTTAAAAAAAAAAACAAAAACACTTTCCATTTAATTTGTTTGCTGTATGTGTGT